TTTATTTTATAATTGATAAAAGAAATGTAAATATAATATAATATCCAAATAGAGATTAGAAATATTGTGTATATCTTTTGATAAGGAAACCACAATTTCCTCTGGTATGTACTCTTGATTAACGCCAACAAAATAGCTAGTTAATCTAAACATATATAATTAAACAAAACTAAATTCCACGTCCTAATTCTTTTTTTATTATATTTCGAAGAATATGATTCACAAAATTTTTGCTTCACGTCTCTTCGTTTATTTTTACAATTGTCATCGATGGAGACTCAGCCCTTAGCCTCATTGTCTTACAAATTTCAAGAGCAAACGTATTTCACACGTTGAGAATTCCCTTGAAAAGAACTGCATTTATTCATCGCATCAGTACGAAGAATTTCGCCGACATTTCTTTCAAACCAGTCATCATATGTCTCACCAGAGGTGTTAAATGTCTACTCAGTGAACTGTCCAACATTCGTACACATCAAGTTAATACACAAAACGGTCCCTAACCCATCTATTATTTTCCCATCATTTTTATTTACACTGCGCATATTTTGGCTACAATTCTGATTTGAAAATTGGGGATTTTCATACGACAGCGCGATCGGGAAATAAATTAATATTTAAATATGTTTGAACTGCGTGAAATTTCCCGCGGAAATTTACTCGCGTTGCGCGCGCATCGTATCGTACTTCGCGTGCAATACGAAAAAGAACAGAGTGTTTATACGCGCTGTTATAACAAAATTGAGAATTAAAATATTACTCTACATCAGTCAAATGTTATCAAACAAATAGAAAATTTCATCAATCAAAATGACGGAAATGAAGTAGATTCGAAAAGAATTTGCAAAGTGTATGTGAAACAATGAGAGTCTTTGAAAATGAAAATCAATGATCCGTCCCAATATTTAAATTGTTTTTTAAACTGCAAGAGAAATAAAGACACGAATTTCATATGTAAAACTACAAAAGTTGATCGATCATGAATTTATAGCACGTTTAAAGGATTATTAGTCTTCGTGGCAACAATTCCGTTAAGCAAATTATAAAATAAATAAAGTAAAGCAATTCCATTAAGTAGTTCCGTAAAATTAATTAGGAGACATGGAATAAAAACTTAATCCGCTTGATCGTTTCATTTCACTAATACTACTTTATACCTTCAAAGTACATAAACATAATTTCTTATATTCTTTGAAATCATCAAATGTCTAATATTTCATAAATATTTTAAGCAATTTGTACCCTATCACATACGTCACACA